CGCCTCCTGCAATGGCCGCCGAGCTGTCAGCGCCGCAGCCAATCGCAGCGGGCGGCGAGCACGGCCCGCGCGGGGGCGCGCACAGGCGCCCGCGCGTCCACGGCTGCCGCCGCCTCTTCCCCGGCGACGGGGTTAGAAGCGACCGGCCCGCTCTGTCCTGGGGTTCAGCGGCGTTACGGCCGGGGGGTGCGAGGGGCTGTGTGGGCATCCGTCGACCCGGCGCGGGGTAGGAAAAAGCTGCGACTTGGTCCTTTCGCCTCACCCTGGGTGCAGGGAGGTCGCTGCTCCCTCGCTCGCTGCGAGGAGACCCGGCGGCAGCGGCGGGGTGCCGGGGGGTGGGAGGGGCTGTGTGGGCATCCGTCGACCCGGCGCGGGGTAGGAAAAAGCTGCGACTTGGTCCTTTCGCCTCACCCTGGGTGCAGGGAGGTCGCTGCTCCCTCGCTCGCTGCGAGGAGACCCGGCGGCAGCGGCGGTGTGTGAAGGGAAGAGGGGAGAGGCGTGCTGGTGCTTCACCGCAAGCATAAATCTTCCTTAGCTAGTGCCAGGCTGCGGCAGGGAAAGTGAGACCCTCACCGGAGCAGAGTTGCACACCTTGTTTTACTGCCCTCAGTCACTGCCGTGGTCACGTTAATTTAGACAAATCTCGTGCCGTAAAGGTCTGTTCATCCTCCTTAAGCGCTGGATTGAGTTATACAAGTTTGAAATAATAAGAAATACTGAATGGTTTGGACATCCACGAAGCTGCAGCTACGCTCTGTAGCTCGGAAGGAGCTCTCTTGGCACGGCTGTAGCCCCCGGGCAGTACCTGCTGCAAAACAACAAGTAGTTTTCCTGCGGGAACTTAGGGTGGCGGCAATTCAGCGTCCACATATTCCGTGCTTGGGCCGAGGGTGTGTGCGTTTCCGTGGCGGCTTCGCCTTCCCCGGGCCGTGCGGCTCTGCCGGGGGGGGCGGCTGTGCCAGCCCGGCCGGTCGCCCCGCTGGCCGGGGCCGTTCACAAGCGGTGCGTGGCTCTTTGCGGAGCCTCTGTTGAACCAGCTCGCAGCGGCTGGTCTCGGTTTCTTGTTCTGTCCTCCTTTCGCTGCAACTGGCTGATTTTAATAAAGAAAATATCGCCGTCTGTTTTTCCGTGTGCATTTAAATTGGAAACACGTCTAGTGCCGACCGTCCTACTGCGCGCTGCAAGAACTAAGTACGGGCGCGCCCGGGGCTGGTGGGGCTCTGTTCTCTCCTTAGAGCCGATCGGCTCGTTCGTTCCCCCAGTGCCGCCGGGGCACTCCGCGCCCGGGTGGGATGCGGGCACTCTGCCTCGGCCGGCGCTCCGTGGGCCACGGTGCCCGGGGCCCGACGGTGTCAAGTGGCCCAGCCGAGCCA